TATCATCAATTTACAGATTCTAATCACCTAATTTGAGGATGTTTTATTTCTAATTCTTCGCCTTGTTCTCAGCAAGTGGGAAAGGCAGCTTAAAAGAACATTTTGTTCTGGCCTTTCTAATTTTCAAGCTAGATTTCTGCAAACACAGAGTTCTTCAAATATTATTGTATGCAGGGGCTATTTTGTATTCCAATTCAAAGATGAACTAATTATCTCAAAGACTGGAGAGGCAAGTTTCATATGCGTGCACCGGCTGCAGAAGCGCAAGCATTTGCGGGGGCCGGGAGTGATAATTCTGTGGGACACAGTGACATGCAGTGTTTCACGGATGCCGTGGGCCCAGCAAACCTGGGAGTCAGGTAGCCCTCAGGCGACAGTGTGAGCTGGAATGTGGCTGGAGGGCAGCCCCTTTCCTGCCAGGAAGAAAGAAATGACCTTAAAGGACGTGGGCTGGGTTTACTGTAGCCCAGGGCGAGTCCCCTCCCGCCCTCGGCCGGGCGCAGGGAGGGACAGGAAGGTCTCTTCACCCGTCTACCTCACACCCACGGACCTTCCTCTGGGTTTCGAAGAGGAGGGGCAGGCAGCGAGTTTACTGCCAATTCACTACAACCAGTGTCACTGTGTAAAAGGACTTGGCACATTACCGAATCCCTGGCCCTCGTTTAAAGAGGAACAAGGCCGTGTCTGGCTGGAGGGCCGGCAGCAGAGCAGGGGGCCTGGGGCAGGGAGAGGCCTGGCCCTGGGCCACCGTGGACTCCACCGCCCCGGGTCCTTGACTCTACGCCCTGGTTTCCCGGCCGCTCGGCCTGCACACAGCAGGGGCATGGGACAGACAGACGTCCCGTCCCAGGCCCCGGGCAGAGAGAGCTAGAGATGCGGGAGGGACCTCAGGGTTTTCCTCCTCCGTGAAGAGGGTGAGGCGGGAGGGAGACAGTCGTGGTTGCTGCTCCAGGTCACTGACCGGTCGCCACCCAGGACTCGCGGCGCGGAGACCTGTTGTCGCAAGCCTGTCTCAGGCGAGGCCTCCTTCCTTCAGGCAGAACCAGAGTCCAGGGGCCTGACGCGAAAGCTCTGGTGTTGCCGTGGGTCTGCCGGTCACGTGGCGAGGCCCGCGGGGGGGTCCTCCTCGCCCGCAGAATCATCCCAGTGGGCACACGTGTACCCCTTGCCGGCCCCACACCGCACTTACAAATGTTTCTGTGGCTCAGGAGGCTGCGCTCCAGCTCTGGGACTTGCAGAGGCAGGACCTGTCCCCACCGCTCTGTTCCACAGTGGGAGCCACAGGCGGGGCACGCGGCGCTAAGGACGGGGACCATGGTCTCGGTCAGCCACCAGGCAGCTGCGGATGGTGGCTCTCCATCAGTTACAAACTCACCTATTAATTAGATGACGACTGTCCAAGTCTCCCAGAGCCACCAGGAAGAGGACTTCCCTCTTGGCTTTCCCATCAACAGTCTATTTTACAAGAACAGCCGAAAGACATTCCTGCTTTAAAAAACAACAGAGCCCTACCTCACTCTTTTCTGCTGTATTTACTAGTAACTTCCAGCCCCGGACAGCCTAGCACCTCCCTCCCTGGCTGCAGCGGGCATGGTGGGTGGATGGAAGAACTGCACCCAGTGGAAAACGCTGCTCTGCCGACCCAGCAGTGCTTGCAGGTCACTAACCTTTGCGCTCTGTATTTTTTAAAGGGCATGTAAGTTGTATTCTATTTATTGTAATTAATGAATCTGAGAGATTTTGAAGTTTCAGGACCATGCCCTAAATCTGACTCTTAGTGTCAAAAAAAAGATGAGGGGAGGAAAACTAGATTAGAGGGAATTTTAAATTCAGTATAATTGATAGCATTTGCATTTTAATTATTTCTTTTTTTTAAGATGTTAAAAGTTACCATGTCCTTAACAAACATATAACCCATTCTACTTTTTAAGAGTTGTTACTGAAATGATTGTTTATATGTCTGTTTCTTATTATTCCATAATAAATTTAAAGACATGATCCTCTACATGAGAAAAAATATAGCCCCCAACAACAGTCAAATCTCACTTAAAAGTTCAAAAAAGTTTAGAAACCGATATCCAGGGGGAAACGGCGCTTTTCTCGTATCTGACTAACTTCCTCGTTTTCCCATCGCCACGTCGGTGGCAGAGCTTACGGTAAGGGACGTCCCCACCAGAAGCGCTGAGGGGTGAAGCGGCCACAGGAGGGACACGAGACTCAGAAGAGAGCAGAGGGTCAGGACTCCGCACGGCTGCAGGGACAGCGGGTGTGAGTGAGCGGAGGCATCTTCCTTCCCCCCCGGGCCCATCAGGCTGTCGCTAAGAGCCTGTCATGTGGAGGGATGGCCGTCAGGCCATACGCCTTGAGCACAATGTTCATGGAGAATGGCTGTGGCGATGCGGCTGAAAATAAGAGGGAAATGACTTATGACACGTGTAGAATTTTCTCACGTGTCATATGGTATTGATCAGCAGTTCTCAAACGTTTTGGTTCCAAAAACCCTTTTCACAAAATTATGGACAACTCTTGAGAGCTTCACTTTATGTAAGTTATAGCTACCAGTGTGGACCTTAAGGGAAATTAAGAGTGAGAAAAATTTAATGCAAAAAAATACACTTGTCTGCGTTCCCATAGTGTCAGAACATTCCCCGTCACCAGCCTCTGGAAAACTCCACTGCATACTCTTGTGAAAATAGAGTTTAAAGGGCAAATAGTATCTTAGTATTATTACTAAAGCCATTTTCACCCTGTGGACCCTCCTGAAAGGGTCTCAGGGACCCCCAGGCTCCCAGAATGTGCTTTGGAAACTGCCAATATAGACCAAACCTAAGAGATTTTGAGTTTCGTCAAAGGCTCCCCAGCTTGAGCTTGTCAGGAGAAGAGGCAAAGGGGACAGGCAGGCCCATGATCTCTGCACCCTTCATCCATTAGAGAACATTTAAAATTTTTTTGTATTTTATTATCAGGATTCTAAATATATCATGTTCCTTTAAATACAGAATTCCATGGGGGGAAGGGAGCAGATTTAAAATCACTGGTAGAATGTGTGTTGTGGGAGATAGTGTATGACAGAGAGAAAAACCCTAAGGATTAGAGAAAATATAGTCTTCATTTTTTTAAAAAGGGAGGTATCGCAATTGAGGAATGATGCTTTAGTTGTAAGAGCAGCATAAACATTAAGTTTCTTAGAAGAACCCCAAAAGCATGTCAAATGAAAAAAAAGTTCATGAAATACATACTAGCAAAGAATATATGTTATAGTAATATATAGAGTAATATTTATAAGTAAATGTATTTATTCAGAAATTATTTATTGAATACTCAGGCTGGTTCCGGGCTAGGTCCAGCATAGATTGCTTTCATGATTTTGTGTTTTGCACACAAGATGTGCTCTTTTGGGTCTGGCTTCTTTTGCTCAATATTATTTTGTGAGACCCAACCATATTTTTTAATGTATTTTCAGACTATACTTTCTCAGTGCTACATAACGCTCCACTGTGTGGATATGTCACGATTTATGTACCCATCCTACTGGAGGGGTATTTGAGTCATTTCCCATGTAGCCTTTTAGCCACAGAAAAAACCAGAGATTTTCTATCATCCAGAGGAGGGAGCCACAGGTGATCAAAGGAAGTTTTTGTTTTCCTTCCACGTCAGGATTAGAGCTGAGTTATGAATTAAGTATTAATAATTTTGCCTAGTAGTTAGGGAAAGAGAAGAAATTAATATGACGACAGCTGCTCTAGTGGACTGTCTTCCTAATTCCAAAGGAAACAGACCTGGCTTTGGCTGGTGACCACTTCTCTGTGGCATGTCTTGGGTTTCTTGGAGGGACAACATCCCGCACTCAGAATGCTAATCAAAGCATGGTGACTGATGAACGTAGTAGACAGTGGGTGGGAGAGGAGACAGCATTCAAACAGGATACCAAAAAAAAAAAAAAGGCGCCTGAAAATACCACTTTAGAAAATAAAATGCTGTTTACGTACAGAATAACACAATTTCTAGTCTCACATCCCACCTGTGACATTAATCAGAGCCTTCACCTATGGCCATAAGTCATCTTTTCCACCCCTAGTAGTTTACAGATTTTTTTTTAGCTTTTAAGTGGAAGGAATTAAAAAAAAAGACCCAGAGCTGCCCTAAAAGGAATGAGGAAGCGGGCGCTCTCGGGCGGCTGCGGCTCCGGCTCCGCTCCGCTCCGCTCCGCTCCGCTCCGCAGTGTGACGGCCGTGATGTGCTTTCCGCCCACGGGGTCTGAATTTCCACCTGCCCGCCCCCTGCTTATAATGCGGAGCACGTGAGCCCGCAGTCAGTCCCTCCTCTGCCAGGCGTCATGCAGCTGCTCCCCGGCTCCCCAGCTCCCCGCGGATAGAGGAGCCCTGGCCGAGCCTCCGAGGGTGAGTGCGATCCGTCCACACGACAGGAGAGTGAGCGGCCAGCAGGTCGCTGGTCTTTCAGACCAGATCCGAGAGAAGACAGCCCGCTGTGGGGGGTGCTGCAGGGGTGGAAAGATTCTGAGCCCGGGAAGCCTGCTCCAGGGTGAAGCCTGTACTTCGGGGGATAGGAATTCTGTAAATGTTCTCTCTGTCTTATGTCTTCTGTAAGTCGCATCCTGGGAGTGAGTTTTTCCCTTCTTGGGTTGGATGAACAAATTCATGAGAAGCTCTTAATATAATGCCTGACACATAGTAGGCCCTCCAAAAAATATGTTAGTTATTGTACTTGTTACTCAGATTATCTCTTGATAGGAATGTAACAAATGCATAACAAAATTTGGCATGGCGATGATATCAGGTTTAACTAATTTACAAATGTGTGTTGAGATGCTGTTCTTGGTAGCATAAGGCATCCGGTAACAGACAACTGTACTTACAGTGAAAACTTTTCTGCCTAACGGTTTCAGACTTTGTGCTCTGGCAGAGTGGCCCTGAAATTGGCCAACTGACCACTGGTGTCCCTCCTAACTCTTTCCCATGTGATTTCTCCGTAGGCAGAGCCGAGGCCACACGGGAGGGAAATTCATCACGGGACAGTCAGCCAAAGTTCTCATGAAGCTGACAAGCAGCTGCAATGCCGTAGGTGCCCCTCTTGGCTTTCTTCATTCATATTTTCTAGGCTTGAGTCAAATGTTTACCTAACCTAATTTTTTTTCTCTTTTAGTCAAAAACACTAAATGCCAGTAATATGGAGACATTAATTGAATGTCAGTCAGAGGTAAGAAAGCAATTTTTAAAAGTTTTATCTGCACTGTGAGAAGAGGGAAAACTTTGTTTTAATTGAATGCTGTTGACTTATTTAATTAGAGTAGAAAATTAATATCATAAATGCAGTATATTAAACACATTAATGAGGATCTTATATGAAACAATCAAGACTTTGCTATTGACTGTAGAAGCTAGAAAGAAATCAGTGGACTATATTTACTAATTTTTAACATGAATAAAATGTTACATGTGTATTTTGTGGGGAAAGCCTGGGTAGGTTTCTTCAGTCATTATTTTTAATTAAAATAAACATATTTTTAGGGTGATATCAAGGAGCATCCTCTGTTGGCATCATGTGAGAGTGAAGACAGTATTTGCCAGCTAATTGGTGAGTTTTGAAAACATACTGGTCTTTTATGTAAGTGCTAACGACAAATGTTCTTGGTTTTCAAAACCACAGTACTTACTCTACTAGGAATTCCTTTTTTATGTGTTCTTTTAACGACCGCAGAACATTAACACTTAAATGGCAGGCAGGCTCCGGCTCCCTGGAGCATCAGAGCACCCAGACAGAAAAGACCCTCTCTGCAGCCACCCCCAGCTCTCCAAGGGGTTCCTCGTGGGGTTCCAGACCTCCTGGCCATTTCTGTTTTCACAGTTCAAGCATACACAGGAAAACACACGGTGCCTCTTCCGTGTTCTTCCTTCTCTAATGGAAAGTGAATCGAAGCGCCCATGTCGCAGTCACTGCTGACACCAAATTCCAAAGAGCCCACAGCCCACTCCTCACTTTTCTCATAGCCCACGGCATTAAACGTTACCCTGACCCAGTTCCCCTGAACCACGGGGACAAGCCGCTTCTCTCTCCCGCCTCTTCCACTTGCCGGGATAAAACGCGTGCCAATGCATTTAGGAAATACAGCCCTGATAATTAGGAAAGGGGAAGGAAGGAGAGCGGAAAGAGAGAAAGAAGGGGGCTTGTGAGAGGCAGTACCCGTTGCACACACATCTCCAGAAGCGCTTTGCACAGACGGACTGTCTTGGTATGTTTACTGATAATCCCCAGTTGCCAGGTCCAGGCCCAGGCCTTCCTGCAGCAGCCTGTGCTCTCCCTGTCCCGAAGCAGCCACCGCTAAACCCAAGGTGACCGCGGGAGGCCGGGGGTGGCGCCCTCTCGTGGCCGGTTGGAGCCGGCAGGGCTGCAGGGCTTGAACAGCGCGCCAGCCCTGCTGTGTCTTCAGAACGATCTGTTGAGCAAGTCACTTCCTCTCCTTACAAGTTTCGTTTTCTTTAAAGGAGCAAATTGAAATAAAATCTTCAACATCAAAATGTCCACCACAGTAACTAAAGTCAATATGCGAAGATGGTTGTTTATGATCTGCACAGCTGGGTTTTGCCAGTTTTCTGCAGTAAACAGCTAGTGAAGGGTAAAAACAGGAAAGGTGGAGACTCTGAAGAACCTTGGTGTTGATGTTTAGGGGCTGGTTTCGCTGGTAACATTGTGGTTGTTTTCTGGGTTGATTTTTAGAGATTAGGATTCATACCCTTTGCTTTCTCAGTTTTATCAAGAGTATTTCCCCTGCATGGCATTCTAGAGGTGGCCTTATGTGCCTGGCGATACGCATTGTCTGACATGGATCTTCGTTAATATTTTCATCTAAATTTTCATCTTGCTTGTTTTCTTGGCTGTAGAAAGTAAGAAGAGAAAGAAGGTGCTGTCCTGGCCCTTTCTCATGAGAAGGCTTTCTCCTTCATCAGATTTTTCTGGGGCCTCAGAGCCCGAATTGAAAGTGTCGTTGTTTGATCAGCCCCTGTCAATCATCTGTGGTGACGGTGACACACTCCCCGGACCCATCCAGGTAAGCTCGCAGTTACTTGTGAACCTACTTCAGTTTTCTGCCAGAGGTGAAAAATCGTTGAGTAATCTGAATGTCATCCTCATGCTAGACTTGTTGAGGCCACATTTTAGTGTTTTCACTTTTAGAAATGGTGTTTCCACCGACACGTGCAGTCAGGACATTACCTGGCTGCCTACATTCTAGAAATTGGTTGTATTTGCCAGTGAGCTCAGCTTTATGGTCACTCTAGCCTTGACTTCATAGAGTTAAGAATGCTGAAATGTGTGGCTTCTGAAAGACCAACAGACAGAAATGTGGTATAGCATCTGTGATCCGAAATCCAATGTTTATGTGGAATGAGTCACAGGAGGGAGGCCTGAAATGATTTTAGACTGTGCAGAATCAGAGCTTTCACAACTGACCTCCTGTTAGAAAAATGGCAGAGTTGAGGAAGAGTTGATAGAAACTGGACTGAGGAAAAACTGGCATTAATAGTTACTTGTTAAGACTAACTTAGTATCATGGACAACTAACTTTATTGGAGAGGATTTTTATGACAGATTAAGTTAGCTACTGTTCATATGCACTACTTTAATTCTCTTTTTCCTACCTAAATATAGATTCTTAGTGTATTTGGTAGCAAAGTGTGTCTTCAAACGAAGGGTAACCATTTCCTATTCCTATGCCTCTTTCCTATAGGATATTCTCACTATTCTGTGCCTTAAAGGCCCTTTCNCAAGGGTAACCATTTCCTATTCCTCTTTCCTATAGGATATTCTCACTATTCTGTGCCTTAAAGGCCCTTTCACTGAAGGGATATTCAGGAAAGCAGCCAATGAGAAAGCTCGCAAAGAGCTCAAGGAGGAGCTCAACTGCGGAGGGACCGTGAATCTGAAAAATCTCCCTGTGCACCTCCTGGCGGTGGTCTTTAAGGTGAGTTCACAGCATTGGCGCCAAAGAACCTGCCACGTTAACTGCTCTGACACGTTAACTCTCAGGATATAAGACATGGGCTCTTCTCTCTACAAATCATAGTAAACTGATCTTGGAGCTTGTTTCAGCTGAGCCTTTTATTTACTTATATAAACTCTGTGTTTCTATGATCCCGGATTCCAACAGAAAGTGAGGCATTCAATTTCCCCCAAATTTTGAGGAGAAAGGCACTTGGGTTGTCCCATAGCCAAGTTCATAGCCCTGAATCTGGTGGCCCCTTGGATGGTGACCTTACTGTGAGACAACTCAAGAGGGAGATTTCCCCCAAATGAATGAAATGCAGGAAGGAGGGGGCACAGCCGATGGCAGGATGAGCATAGGTTCCGTGAGATGGAACAAAGTCAAGATAAAGATGCCACACCTTATACAACACAAACAAGCCACCTGTACTCTTTCTTCACCCTCCAGGACTTCCTCAGAAGCATCCCACGGAAGCTGCTTTCCTGCGACCTGTTTGAGGAGTGGATGGAGGCTCTGGAGAGGCGGAGTGAAGAGGACAGGATCGAGGCCCTGAGGCAGTAAGTCCGAGTCGGTCCCGCAGGCCTGCCCGCAGGGACTCCATCTTTTCATTCATTACAGAGCTGTCAGCGTGACGCTTAGGGGATCAAAGTGGAATTGCTCATCTACTCCCAGAATAAAAATCAGGAGTTACCCTGGACATTTATAAAAATCAGCGAAATGAAAGCAGTACTTTTTCTAAAAGTAGAACATGAACTTCAGTACAAATCACAAGAGGTGGGGGAGTCTAAAAATATAAGTCGTTTAAGAAGGTTTGAGACAGAATCATCGATGAAAGCTTCAGAACAGGCTACCCAGCCAGGTGCAGGAATTTGGGGTTTTCCTTAACCTACATAGATGGTGTCCTGCAGAGCAACCATTCTCCATAAAACACCCCTTAAAGCACAGTAGGACAAACCTGGAAGGGGTTATTTTGTTTATAAAATTCCATAACATACTTCATATTCTTATAATTAACCAAAATGAAAACTATATAAAAACAAATTCCAGTGACAGCAAAAACAATTATGTATGTAAATGAAAGGATAACCTGTTAGTGACTAGAGAATCTTAAATGCCTAACTTTAAAATATCAGCATTTTTGCCAAATCCTATGAAAGTGTGCCTATATATTATGATTGTCCCACATGGCTAAATATTTTCAATGAAATATTTATAGAATTGAAGACATTAAGAGTGTTTGTCCCAAAATGAAAAATTAGTTTCTACATAAAGACATAAGACTCTTTCAGAACAATAATTTCTTATGAAAAATGAAAATGACCCATATATTGGTCACCATTTCAGTTTTTGAAAAAGAGAGGCTTTAAAAATCTAATTTATTGTTTGTTAGTAATAATGTTGCCGCTTAAATGCTGCCTTGACCATAGTTATGAACTTGCCTTATACACTGATTTCTTCTCTGTATGGATTTCTCAGAATGGTACAAAAATGTCTCATCTTTGTTCCATGATCACAGCTCAGAAAAAGGCAAATGATTGTGTTAAAAAAAAAAACAGTCTTGCAGTGTTAGAAACAAAAGACATTCTACATGGTTAAATGATTCCTCAACAAAATGATTTTCAAAATAGTAAACTGTGGTATTTATTGCCGGAGTTAATGCTTCCTAGCCTAGATCTATATAAATAATAAAGGCCTGTGGTCTGATGTCCTCATTATTAAGACCAGTTTCTTAGGTCCTCTCCGTGTCTGGTTACCCAGTTTCATTCCATGCCAGTTGCCCCTGGAAATGTTTGAATTACTATTTCATAATGTTACTTGTGAAAACAGCACCTTCCTCATTTTAAAGGAAGCCTGGGTTAGCCAGAGTTTCAGCTTGCTGCGTACACTAGAGCTAGAAAAGCCATGAGCCCCCTGAACCCGTCTTCCCTGCGCTTCCTTCAGGGTTGCGGAGAAGCTGCCGCGGCCCAACCTCCTGCTGCTCAAGCACCTGGCGTCCGTGCTCTACCTGATCAGCAGGAACGCGGAGGTCAGCAGGATGGACGCCAGCAACCTCGCCATCTGCGTGGGGCCCAACATGCTGACGCGCGAGGACGACCAGGACCTGTCACTGGAAGCCCAGAAGGACTTGAACAATAAGGTCTGGCGCAGTCTGTTTCTGAGAAACTTCCCATTTACGCTCTCGCTGTCTGTCTGCAAATGGAAGCCATGAAATGCCTCTGAATTTCTCTGGCTGATTCCTGATCACAGTGAAAATGCGAAATGCAGGATGTGTCTGTCACAGTTCCACTTTTAGGCGGGTGCATTTAATGACACTGAGTAAGCCCAGGCCCCGCCCTTGGTCATCCTAGAAGACAGAACTCAGTGCTACTGGTTTTCCCATCACTGTCTCCCAGGACAGAAATGCCCGCTAGTTTCTGTCCTTTGTGCTTTGCACTGTCAGTCCAACTACTGACTTGAGAAACTCCTTACTCAAAGTGAAAAATAAAAAATGCATGTCTCAAAAATAATTTTAATAAGATGATTGTTACCAAATTTTCTGCACGTTCTTTCCAGACACAGAAAATCTTAGGCTCATTTTGGCACCTCCCTGCTACTTCCCCGCTCCCTTTAAAACAATAAAGATGTCCCTAAGCTGACGTCCCTAAGCTGACAGTCTGCTCATTTGTCCTCACAGGTTAAGACTCTGGTGGAATTCCTCATTGATAACTGTTTGGAAATATTTGGGGAGAACATTCCGGCGCATTCCAGCACCGCTTCGGATGAGTCCCTGGAGCACACTGACAGTTCAGGTACAGGACGCGCTGTTGGCCACTCGCGTTGCATCCCCTGTAATGTCAAAGGTCTCTGGTGCTTGGAGCCACTTCACACGTCCCTAACGAGAGTAGACGGTCTGTGGGAAGTGGTTAAATGTGAAACCTGCTCAACCCTTCCTGCAGCGTCGCCTCAGGCTGCACTCTGGGTGGAGCCTGGAGCCTCCCCTGCCTTTACTGATTAACTAACTTTAGGCAAAGGGCTGGGTCATAAGCTTTTGTTCCCACTAATGGAACTGGGTCCATTAAAATAGAAATGGATCCAAGGAAAGAGCCATCCGAAGGATCAGATTTTAGGTTTGCGATCAATCAGTGTTCAGTGAATGCTGTTTTCTCTTTTTTCATTCTCCCCACCCCCCTTGAAAGAGTCGATTTTGAAAGAAACAAAAATTGAACATGGCAAATATCTTTCGTTTCAAACCCCAAAGCTCCTTTCTAGAATACCTAGCGCCACACTTGATATAAGTGGGTGACCTGTCCTAAAGTTCCTTTCTGAAGGATCTGAACAGAAAGCTCAACTGTCCTTTAATGTGTGCAGACGCATCGACCCTGCAGAATGACTCGGCCTATGACAGCAATGACCCTGACGTGGACTCCAGCAGCGCCCTCAGCTCCCCAGGCAGGCTGCCCCAGGGGCCCGAGCACCCAGGCCGGGAGCCCCTGGTGAGCACGGTGGCCCGGCTGAAGAGCTGCCTCGGGGACCCCGACAGGCGGTACTCAGAGCCCGGCGTGTCATCCTCCCTGGAGGGCCCCAGGCACCGGAAAACTAACCAGAAAGTAACGCGCAGCGAGGACGGCTCCCCCGGGGCCCCGGCCGCCTCTCACTCTGAGGGGGAGGAAGCTGAGGACCCGTTTCCCGAGGAGGTGTTTCCTGCAGGTGATGGCAGAAACCAGAGGCCGCAGGACCTGAAGGCCCAGGGCCCAGCGTGGGGACCGGCGCCCAAGGCCTGCTCCCGTGGCTCCCTGGACGCCGCCTCTGACGGCTCGCCCGTGGCCTCCCCCTCCAGCCCCAAGAGAAACTTTTTCACCAGACACCAGTCTTTTACCAGGATGGATAAAAGTAAGCCCAGCAGAGACATGAGGAAACACTCCATGTCGTTCTCCTTCGCATCTCCCAGAAAGGTGCTGACCAAGACCCCCAGCCTGGTGTCCATGAGACCCAGAGGCTTCGCCAGAGACCAAGCAAGGAAAGAGTTGAAAAAGGACAGCCAGCTGGCCGGGCGAATCGTCCAGGAGAGCCTGTCCGAGGCCCACGGCCAGGCACCTCTAGACTGTGGCTCCGGGTCCTGCGCCCTGTCGGTTGAGGACGTGTTCCACCTGGTGGACCAGAGAAGCCCCGGGAGCCCGCCATCCTACGAAGAAGCCGTGCGGTGCCAGGTCCCGGAGCTCGCTGCCCGCGGCAGCCAAACCGTCGGCAGCATGCGGGCCAGGATGCTCAGCCTGGACACAGGGCTAGCGCCTCGCCCTCCGGTTCACTACGGAGGGGACCCAAGAAATGCGTGCAGCCAGGAGCTGCTCGACGGGCACAGACCCCCTCCCAGGACTGAGAGTTGGAGACAGAGCAGGACTGTCTGTGCTTCTGTGGAAACGATTGGGCAGGTGACTGTCATGGGGAGACCCGAGCTGCACCGGCTCAGAACTGTGTCCGAGTCCACGCGGAAGAGTAAGTGGGACTGCCTGGCGCGGCGCTGCAGCCAGCCGCTCTTCGAGGCTGACCAGCTCCAGTATGCCAAGGAGTCCTACATCTAGGAAGGCAGGAGGTGCCGCGCGGCTCGCGGGGCTCTGCAGCGCGTGGCTGCCTGACAGCTGCCTTCAGACTGTTTCAAAAAGTCAAGAATAAGCTCCTTTCGAGAGGCTGTGTGGGGCCCTCCATGGAGGGGACAGCTGCACGGTGGCCCTCGAGTGCTGTGTGTGTACCTGGATGTGCACACACACAGCAAGTGTATAAAGTGTGTTCCAGACAGGGCGTCTGTGCGAGATGTCTGTATAAATGTGTGTAGATGTTTGTTTGTGAACTTGGGATAAACCACATTGCTCCTCTCTGCCTCCCAGGGCACTTTTCCACCCTCCAGTGTTTTAAAATAATGTTTCCCATTTCTTATGTTGCCTCGAATGTCTTGCCCATGTTCATATTTCCACAAGCTCTGTCCAAGGGAAAACGTTTAAAGCTCTGTCGGAAGTCCCCGAGCAGCAGCGGCTAACTAATCCCGCATTAGGGAGAGAAGCAGACTGCAAGCAGCAGAGCCCGTGTGGGCCTTGTCGGGGCATCACGGACGCCAGGAAGAGAAAAGGCCAGTGTGAAAATGTGGGCCGGTACGTCCTCTGTCCTTCTAGCCGTCTGATTTTTAATTGGGGAGATTAGTGGAAATGCATTACTTCCATGTTAACAGATTTATAGCACTTTGAGTTTCCTTATACAGTAGTTTGGGGATGTCTTCCCAGTGGAGGCTGTTACTTTATATGTGTTGGTGTCGTATGTAAAACTTCAGTATAATCTCACTACAATAAATTGCCTGCCTTTTTCCAAGTAAAAACATTCATTCGTCACTGATGTGCTGCTTCCTTTCCCTCTGTTTACAAAAACCCACAAAGAAAATCACACATTGATCCACTCAACAAGCATCTATTGAATATATATATTTATTCTAGACTAATAACGCAAAGCTGGAGATTTGTGTTTAGAAAGAGACAATCCCTGTTCTTCAGACATTAGCAAAACCATAAAAACATACCCACTTTAAGCCATTCTTTCAGCAGATGGTCACTCAGAAGCCAGGAAATTTGTTGTGCAAACGGGAGTATAGCAAATATAAAGTTTCCTGGGTTTTAGTGAATTAAACTTTTTGGTAAAAACCTTATCTTTATAATGCTTCGTTTGCTTGATTATTAGCAAACATAATGATAAAATGTTTGTTATATATTAGAACTTTAATGCTCAGTGGTTGTTTATCCCAATCTTGGAGATACTTGGAGATTTTCCTTATTTTATCACCTCTCATAAAACACTGCATTTTTTATTTGTTAAAGAAGTATTTCTGCATTGGCTAGCTACCAGGTGGCAAAGACCTATTTTTTCAGAGGTGGTTTATTAATAATGTAACAAAGTTAAAACTGTTGTAACTCAGATTGCTCAGGGCAGCATGTTCAGACCCAATAATCTCATTAAAAACACTTTATTAGCCCGGCTGGGCGTGGCTCAGTGGCTGAGCATAGACCTAGGATCCAGGCGATCGGGGTTCAATTCCAGGTCAGGGCACATGCCCGGGTTGCAGGCTCGATCCCCAGTTGGGGGCGTGCAGGAGACAGCTGATCAATGACTCTCATCATTGATGTTTCTGTCTCTCCCCCTCTCCTGTCTCTGAAATCAATAAAGATATATATATTTTTTTTAATTAAAAAAAAATACTTTATTAGCCCTCGCTGGTTTGGCTCAGTGGTTAGAGCATCAGCCCGCAGACTGAAGGGTCCCGGGTTCGATCCCGACCAAGTGCGTGTACCTCAGTTGCAGGCTCAATCCCCAGCCCTGGTCTGGGCTCGTGTGGGAGGCAACCAATCTCTCTCTCTCCCCGCCCTCCCTTCCACTCTCTCTGAAAAGCAATGGAAAAAATATCTCCTGGTGAGGGTGAAAGACAAGCACCTTTATTAAGCACCACCGGTAATGTGTAGATTTCAAGGGCAGACACCCCACCCTACCCCCGACTTAACTTAAGAGAAGCAATCTTTTTCCAGAGTTGGATGCTAATAGTCATAGTTATAATTTTCAGCATCTACCCTATGGCCAGCATTGTGCTGAGTATTTCAGGACTGAAAAAATTTTCCCATCATGTTAACAACTCCTTCCTGAGAATCAGAGAATTCTCATCAATGGGTGAGTTCGACTGTAAGCTAGGAAGCCGCCATCTCTCCCACTTTTCCAGGACCTGACCTCCACGTGACCCTACTCAGACCACGAAAACCCTACCCCCAGGTTCCTTATTTTAAAGAAACGGGAGCAGCCTGCAAGTCGGCTGCCTGTGGCCTGTAAGCAGTAGAGTTTGCTGACAGATGTTCGTGAGATTCCTGCAGTCAAGCAGGCGTCACTGCTGTGAGGGTTCCAGCGGTGGAGACAGAAGTCCCGTGATGGCTCCCATTACTGCAAGGTGGTGTCCCCACACTGTCTGCTGGCCTTTTAACAGGACTGCCCGCCTGGCTGCCAAGCAAGCGAGTCTGCTAAGGCCGACACAGCAAGCACCTCAAACAACCGAGACGCATCGTCTCCAGGTTCCGAGGCTGGAACTGAGATCAAGGCATGGGCAGGGGGGGTTCCTCGGAGGCCCGGAGGAAGGAGCTGTCCCGGGCCCCTCTTCTTGGCTGTAGAAGGTTGTCTCTCTGCGTCCTATTGGATTAGGGCCCACTCTAATGACCTCATTTTACCTCTTTAAAGTCACATTCTGAGATACCAGGAGTTTCGACCTCAACAGCTAAATTTGGGAGGGGGTTGCCCTAACTGGTTCGGCTCAGTGGTTAGAGCGTCGGCCTGAGGACTGAAGGGTCTCAGGTTCGATTCTGGCCAAGACCACTTACCTCAGTTGCAGGCTTGATCCCTGGCCCGGTTGGGGTGCGTGTGGGAGGCAACCAATTGATGTGCCTCTCTCACATCGATGTTNCTGGTTGGGGTGCGTGTGGGAGGCAACCAATCGATGTGCTTCTCTCACATCGATGTTTCTCTCCCTCCCACTCTCTCTGAAAGGCAATGGACAATATATCCTCAGGTGAGGATTTAAAAAAAATTTTTTTTCATGGGGCGGGCGGAGCAACACAATTCAAGCCGCAACACCAAGTTTGACAGAGTAGTACTTAAGGACACCTTGACGACACCAACAGTTTTTAATACTTTGCCATAGACAGAGGGCCCAAGCTCACAGTGAGATGTGGGTGACACTAGAATGACACTTCAGTCAAGGACCCAGGAACACCAGAGTTCTGTCCCCCACGGGCCTTCTCAGGGCCACACAGTCACCAGTGGACCATCACAGACGGGCCTGACACCCAGTGCCAGGTGTATGGTAAAACTAGGTTGGAAGTCAAGGCCTGAGTAGGGGCTTTAACCTACAACCAGGTCTAATCTCCAGGCTCCCCCAGCACCCCTGCATCACCGGCCTGGGCCTACCTAGCTGAGGAGGACCCTGGCCCTCTTGCCAAGTGAGACACGGGAGAAGGGACAACCTGCAGCATTCAGTGTCCTGGAGTCTGGCAGAACAGAACATGTCTTCCTCTTGAGAAGGTAGGAAATATTCTCTCCCCCTGTAAAGAGGGGAAGGGGTGGGTTGCCCCATGCGATGGCCAGCATTCCACAGGATACACTGTGATGCACTATGACTGCCCTCAATGACATGCTGTGCCAACCCCACCCCAGCACCACCCACGACTTGGTCCAGAAACATTGACTTGTAGATGTAACCAAGGCAGGGTGTTCGCACCAGAGCTGAGCAGAACTGTAGTCACCGCAGAGCCCAAACTTAGCAAGTACAAAACAGATTGACATGGGGGTCCCTGGGCAGTGGAAGTGGCAGCCACAGCTTGTAGTGCTAATAAAACAATCACAGTTAATGCCACAGTGCTTCCCACATTCATAGACAAGAACAACCAAAGTGCAACCAACACTGTTTATCCTAATGCACCATTAAAAAAATAAGTTCTGGCTGAACTTTGCTGATTGTGATCTTGCTGGGAGGACCACCAGTTCCCACTCTCCTTCCTAAGGGTCAAGGAGCCAGAAACCCACATCAGCTGGGATCTCGCATATTTTGAGCTTTTTAATTGAATTATGTAAGATCTTAACTCTCTTTCTCCAAAGGGGGAATTACTGAGCAATCAGAGGACAAGCATTTTGCTAGAGGCAGAAACAAATCATTTTCTGGCAATATTTTAACTGTAGACTAAGACCCAGCATGGCATCCACTCCCGAGAACAAGTTACATGCGAAGGAGGAAAGACCAGTGAGGTGAAGGGCTGCCCTCTTCCTATTGCTGGCTACAAGGGG